CAAATATGGCCAAGAAATTCTAAAGGGGATCCAAGAGGCAGTGTGCCCAATGCGCAACATGTTAGGGGACATCTCTTCGCCTGGGGTTATCTGCGTTTCGGTTTTGAAAAACACCCTAAAAGCTCGCTTGAGCGCCCGAAACTGGCGGCTCTACGAAAATGGTAAAAGGCTATTTAGGCTTATATGGGCTTACATGGGCCTTACTATCACCTTTATGAAGCCAGGTAATCTTAACCCTGGATTAAACCCTGGGTTGGGATTCATTCATCACTTTTGGAGGCCCCTATAAATAGAGCTGTTCTACTCCGGGGTCAACAATAGGCCCTTCCAAAGCTTTGCATTGGAAGCCATGAGTTCGTGGACGAAATGGAAGCCCACGTAGACGAACCGTCTGCAAAAGAAGGGACCAACAACTGGTTGAAAAACGGTTCAGCTTGTTTCGACGGTTACCCTCAAAATGTACCAGCAACTGTTGTAGGTTTCTTTGCAAGCCCCTTTTGGGCACTATCAAAAAAGAGACGAATCCCCTGTTGACAAATATGTGGACTGATTTGGGGGTCCATGCAAGTCTTGTTCGGTGCTTTAAAAAGTTTGGAGTTTGGGTTTGTTGGGGGTTTGCAGCTGTTTGCATGAGACTAGCCTTGGTTTGGGGCAAATAGGCATAGCTACTTGCATGGAGCGCAGGTGATGCGACAGTGACGGCAACAAAAATACATGGCGGCCAACCAACGAGCCGATCAACTAAAAGAACCGAAATAACCTCGATTTGGGATACAAGCCTTTTCGGGACCAACGGAATAAGGAACTGGACTTTCAGGCTGGTCATCCCTAGCCAGCAAAATTGCCAGCTCTCTCTGTCTCTCTCTCTCTCTCTCTCTGATTTTGTCAGGTCACGAAAAGGCGAGGCCTTCTGAAACTCTCGAAAAACATGGTTCAGCTGCCTCTATCTCTGTCATTATCTCTCATTATCTGTCTTCTCTTTCTCTTCTATCGACTGTTTCCTGCCTCGTTCTCACGCAACGCTCATCCTGTCTCTCTCTCTCTCTCTCTCTCTGAGATCTCTGAGATCTTTTTCCGTCTAAGCGCAGTCCCTGACGGAATGTCAGGGCCTTCCGCTGAACTGCCTGAAGCCAAAACAAGGGACTGACACATGTGGGAGGAAATGGGGTCGGAGAATGCACACAGCGTCAAATAAACTGTTCTTCTTCAGTTTTTCCAAAGGAGTCCCGGAATACATTTGAGCCTTTCCCATGGAAGATTGCGTTGGAGAACCCGGCGGGCCGCAGCATTGATATCCGCTGGTCGTTCTTAGCGAGAGAAGAGACACCTGTCGCTGAACCGAGGGCAACACCCAGTTGCCCCACGACTCTCCTAGCAAAGGTAGCGACCCACTGCTCAAAAACGAGAACACTTGTATCACAGCTAAAAAACGGTCGCGGGGGTCGGTTCCTGAGTGCATTGACCTATATGAGTCCAAACTGTTTAGCACCAAAATGTCCATCTTTCTGGCCATCAGAGCGTCCTTGCGCTGCGCCTGCCTCATCCGGGCACTATGCCCGATGACAATCGGGGCCGCCCACGTCGCTTCTTAGGGAGCAGGCGAGGGAGAAAGGCGATTCCTAGGTTTAGCACAAACATATCCAAATGCTCCAACTGCGAGCCCAAAGAGCTAGCCCTGGCCTGCGAGTTTCAAGCCCGCCTCTGAAGACGTCGCACCGCATGCAGCACCTCCCAGTGGAAGATGCTGGCGATGGCGGACTCGTTCAAGCCTGGCCCCAGGGTTCATTGCGTGCGACATGCGATATCAATCATCACAGTCTGAAGTGGCCTCAACAGGACGACAATAGGATGCGGCATCCCAAAACAAGGTGAGAAGAGTATACTAGTTCTCCCCTGCGGTTTGGGTCCTCTTTAGGACCGGCTTGAACGGGTTGAGCCAAATGACCCTGCTTCTCTTTGACTACGGGTCCGACTCTGCGACCTTCCGGCCGACGCAGGGCTGAACCCCTTGCCAGATGTCCGAAACTGCTTCGCTAAAAATCGAGGGCAAAGACGTCAGCGCAAGGAATCCCGGCTGGCAAAGAGAACTCTGGCCCACGTAATTCATTGTACAACTGGCGAAAACCGGCTTCCCCAGATGTCCCAATCACCACAGCAACCCACCCTAAGTGACAATGTTTCAAATCAGCCGAATTCACGGCTGGCTTGCCGCAATGAGACCAGCTTGTGCCCCCAGCGCATTCCGTGCTTAGTGAAAGCCAGCAGCTCAACCCAACCGACTGAAAATACGGGCAGCAAAGGGGTCACCGGTTTTTGTTTCCGACAAAAGCAAGAAACTTCCACGGGGGCCCAGTGGGACCAAGGCCGAAAAGGGCATCGACAAACACCAGCTTATGGTGGCATCAAATGCTGGCAGAGAACTAATGACGCTGCCTCAAGCCATAAGCAGCCGCTAGAGTTGGCAACGCTGCGTGACTTTTTGGTTCACTCCCACATGGCACACATGGCATGTGTCCAAGGGGACCGCATAGTTGTTCTAGGGGTTGATTCTTTTCAACCATCGTTCTTTCCAAAAACCGGCCGTTTTCCCTGGGTTTCCGGAGGTTTTCTAGAAGGAAGGATCTCTGGAAAGAATGGAATTGAAGGTTGAAGGTACCCCTAGATTTGTTTCCCCTTCTCCTTTCCCTCCCAAAAAAGAGAGCCAAAACGGGACCCATACGTCGCAACGAAAAGCCACCGCCTTCAGATCGGAAGAGGTAAGGCCTCCTAGGCAATCGGAGGAGCCGATTTTTGGAGAGGAGCATAACCTTAGCCCATAAGGCCTCTGCTTTCATTAAACATTGGATGGTTCCACATTCGGGCCATTAGGGCTATCGAGATGAACATGTAGATCATACTAGCCATTAAGCAAAACAAGAACAAAGCCCGTTATGATAGCTTGGGCTCCTGCATTTTCACGTCGCAACTCTTTGAAAGGTCTCGCTTCGGATGGGCATCCGACCAAGCGACGCGCAGGAGTGGGCAATCGCGAGTGCAAACCCAAGCCCTGCAATGCTAAACCGCACATCTGGGATTGTGTTCCATTTGGGTCGTTTCGCATATCACTTGTTGGGCCAACTGAATGTCCTGACCCCTCATGTCCACAGGGCAAGCTTTCTCAGTTGGACCCCTACAGAAGGCCTGGACCCCATTTACAATTTGAAAGTCCTGCCAGTTCCCAATGGTCAGCAAAACATGTTCAACGCGTCTGCGCATAAAAAAACACGTTGCCACACAACCAAGGGGTTCATATGTTAATGGCAAAGCATTTCAACCAGCGGTGGATGCTTCCAATGGATCGGTTGGGCCGCGGAATTTCCCTCTGAGGCCATGTGTTCAAAGTAGCAAAGCCCAAGGCTTGACCCAATGTCAAAGACCAAATCCTGAATCTTGGCCATCTCTTTAAATCGCACACCCAACTGGAAAGGGCGTCTGCCCTACACGCACACACACAAACATATATAAATATATTTATTTATACAATATAAGAAAATTACATGTATGCATGCAAGTTTTCTGTACTTTCCTGCAGCCACCAAGGGCAAATGTTGGGAAATAGTCTCGTGCGGGGACACCCGCTTTCATTACTTTGCGGATCTTTCAGCCAAGGCCCTAGTCACGCAAGCCTGGTCGGGGGAAATCTGAAACTGGGACAACTGACCTCCGCAGAGTCCAAAAACTGAAGGCCTCGACTTGGGATATCCGATCGCATGCTCAAGAAACACAACGGAAGATTTAGGTCAATCAGCACACATGACCCTTCAGCAGCCCAAACGGTGACGTTCCACACCGCCAAGATGAAAAGAGCACTGACATGCGTTCGAAATATCTAAGCAAAACCCTTCAGCACAATGACCCTCCGATTCCTCTCAGCATCCTTCCACAGGCCCCCCAGCATGTGGATGGCCAGGTACGGCCTCCGCAGGCCCTTGCTGTGGCCTGACGTGTCAAACGACCCAATATCAGCGCTTTTTGTGTTGTGAGTCGTGGCGGCCGTGGCGTGTTTCAATGGGACCCTGCCAAAATGGGTGGGTTTTCCTTTTGGCTTCCCTTTAGAATCCTTCCGAAAAATGGTGGTTTTCATTTTGGCTTCCCCTTATCAACCTTCCGAAAACGGGTACCCTCGAAATTCAAAACAAACACCCCATGCGTACCTTCGAGGGATGGTACTGCCAGCCTCCCGGTGCCAGAGATGCCGCGTGCTGCTTGACCTGGCATACCCTCAAGACCAGCGACTGCAATCGAAGTTCGCACAAACCAAAACCAGGGGATTCGCGGGGGTTTCTTAGAGAAGGATTCCTTAAACAAACAGACACGTCTAAACTGTCATCGCTGTCAAGCTCGTCTCCTGAATGGATTGGTTCAGGGAAAGTCCAAGCTGCTTACTTCTCAGACATGATGGCCAAAAGCTGAAAAGGAAGCCGAAGGAGAAAAATGGGATGGTTGATGTGCGTGCATCTTGTCTTGCAGGGCCGCCCTCCAAAAGAAAAAGCAAGAAAAGGAAAGAAACACATGGATTTGTTCTTCTTTTGGTTTCCCCTTAAAACCAACCCAACAAGGGGGTTCCCCCAAAAAACGGCACACCCCGTGTTTAGAGCCGCGCGTCTTTCAGCAAACGACGGGCTCCTTATTCTTTTTTTTCCAGCCGAGGGAAAGCCAGGGGGCTGACCACTGCAGTTATCCCTGGTACAAAATAGCATCGGTGTTTGTTTACCCTCCCACCAAACATGGAAGTGCACAGACCCGTGCACAAAGACTACTTTCCTCTTGGAAAGGGGGGCTGTGCACTTCCATGTTAGTTGGTGGGAGGGTAACTGTGTTTGTAGCTTTCTTCAAGCTAGGCAAGCGCAATTACTCGGTGTTTTGTTTGGCACGCGCGGCACAAGCCGGACACCAGCTGAAAGCCACCTATGTCAAGCTCCGCAACAGGAATCTTTACATTATACACCTGAACATTGCCTTGTAAATGGTGGCTTCCTTTTATGTTGGTGGAAAAAGCCATGTTTCAAATGGTTGCAAAAGGTATCTTTTAAGGAGCCCTGCGCAAAGAAACGAGTTTGGGGTCAGCTGAATGGCGCCAGGTCCAAGAAGTTCCCCAGGCCACAGGCCAGCGGGGACTGCCTTTGGAAGCCAGCAGCCAATCTTAGGTGAAGGAACCACTCTTGGCAACACTCTCCTATGACTCCTATCTCAATAGGATTGGCTTTCCACAAGGCAAAAATAGCTGATGGCACACACAAACCCAACCATGTTGTGCAAAGCAAGCATGTTCGGGTTTGCAGCTTGTTCCAGTTCGTTCGGCTGTGCTGCTTCCCCATCCAGACTTTCACATCAGTGTGTTGCTCCGAACATTCTCACCTCAAGTGATGGTCAGTTCAAAACCTGCCCTTGACTCGCGGGCACATGGCTCCGATCAAACCATCTCTAGCAAGGCACCAAGGCCAAAAAAACCCTTGTCACCAAAAGCGGGATGACCCCGTATGCCCCGCGAAATATGCTGGGCCGAATGTTTATCGTTTGTTCCGAGGCCCCATCATGATTTGAAGTCGAAGCAGTGCACAAACATCAGTCCAATCCGCATGCACAGCACTTCCAAAACCTGAAAGGGATCCCATCCCCACAGGACCATTGTAGTGAGGCTGTTTTACCCCCAGGTGAGCTCGGCAATAGGCAGACATTGCCGCCTCCTCAACGAAACTGAAGCTCCGGAAGAAGAGGAGGTGATCCTGCGAGAAGATGGGCTTGCAGGCCATCCTGAAGGATATTGTTGGAGCTTTGTTTTTGGGACCAGAAAAGAACCAATGAGCTGGGGAGGCTTGAACTTCGAACCACAAACATGCTGGGCTTATTTCCTTTTTGTCGGCTGAATTGAATCGACTTGCAGCCCAGCGCCGATTTCCAAAGTCGGGAGCTCACACTCGAAATTGAAATTCACACCCTTCCTCCCACCAACATGACACCTGCAAAAGTTCAGTTTCCCTTGGAGGGACACCTTTTCAGGTGCCATGTTAGTGGGGGCGAGGGTAAGTCACTTCCCCAACCCCTCGCACAACACAAATCAGCTTCCAAAAGCGTCTTTCAGGAGAGGTGTTTGCTCATGTTGCGGCCGTCCTGCACAAAAGTCAATAAATTTGGGGAGGGGGCACAAAACATGTACACGAATGACATGCTTTGTCGAAACACAAAAAGCAATTTTTTGTGGGTTATTTTTCCCGGTAAAAAGTCCATTAGCTGGTTGTTTAACAGTGTTCTCACGATAAACGCTGTTCTGTGGAGCATTGCTGTTCACTGTGCAGGGCTCGCTTAAAGATACGAGTGCCGGACCTTACTATCCATGAAAAACCTCCTGGTTCAGGTGCTCAATGCCTGCGATGTTGGCATGAAGAAATGATAATCTGACCTTGGACCAAACTGCTTGAATGCTAACACAGCCTAAGAAGGCTGCCCTCCCTGCGTGCTGCTCAGCATTGGAGCCGATCACTGCAAAGCATCCAAATCGGCTGTTGGCTTTGGAAGCAAGCAGGTGCACCATAAGTCAAAACTGATACTTAAGGGGGGGCGCTGGCTTGAAACGTGTCATGTGCAGCTCACCGTATTTTCATTCAGTGTCACTCTTCTTTCACGACTGTAGAGTCCAAGAAGGTGGAATTTCAATGAACAAATATGGTCGCAACAAATTGAGAAGGATAGCTGTCGCGGATCTTGTAGCAGCGCGATTGGCGTGACTCCATAATTGTTCACAGCTCCCCCCTTGGGCCATGTGCTCAAACTTGCTTCAACCTACCATCAGCACAAGACACATTTTCATTCAGCGGTTCTTTGGCCTAATGTGACCCAGCGCAACGTGCATAACAGTTAACAAGTCAATCTGAATTGTTCAGTGGACTGAGCTCTAGGTATTTTAGATGTGGGGTTTCGCCCGGAGCGAGCAGCTCTTGTGAGATTGGCGAATCCGTTCTGCCCAGTGTCAGAAAATGTCACAAGTTGAAAGGGAACTAAGCCCTAGCGCCTGCAACCATCTGTGCCTTCGAATCATAGTTGCAACCTTTGCAAGTGGGTCCCAGTGGGTGCGTGTCAAACATGGCGCCCTGGTACCCGTAAAACATTCAGCCAAACTGAAGGGGGGAGGGCCCTCAACAAAAGACATCCCCCACTCAAGTCCGGCCGTCCTGCCAGTGGTCACCCAGGTGCACAGAGTTCGCCAAAGACATGACGACCAAACACCTCGTGCAACAGGTTAGTGTCTGGTATCTTGTTTTCATGGGAGCCCCCACTGCGTGGTAAGTTTTGCCTGCTGAAATACAAGGGTAACCTTTCCTGCTCTAAAAGGCAAACTCTACGCAATCAGAAATCGAAGGAAGTGATAAGTCCCAAGAGATTGAAACCAAAAAGGTCATGTGACTGAGGCCACACGGACGTCGCGGGCAAGTTCCTAAGCAAACTCAGCATGTGGGCGGAAGGAGGTGATTTTCGTCCACTGGTACACCCAGAATCATGGTGGCACTTTGGCAGCTGCAGGGCTGCAGGCCACCAACGGCCCGCTTTCTTGCAAACGTGGGCCTGGCGTTGCCTTTTGCCCCTCGGCTTCCAACGTCAACACCACGCACAAAACAAGCGAAAAGTTGACCTTGTCCAGCGGCTACGGGGACAAGGGCAGCTGGCCGGGAAGAGAACTAGACCAAGAATGGACAAGGCCACTGGCGCCGACAGGTTGGGGACTTAGCTGTGGAGCTTGGAAAGGACGTGCTGATACAGAAACAGCCCTTTGTGAGGCACCCTCAAATACAATGATCAATCGTACGGACATGTATTCCGACCCAAACTTGCAAGCTGCAAACACCATCACATCCGTCGCCTGTCCGGTTGCACAAACGATGGAACTGTCAAAGGAAGAAAAGCCACGTGAAGTCAGGGCCATCGGTTTTCATCCAAGCTGACCTGAAAGGACGCTTATTGCCCTACATCTGTAGTCTTCAGAAACATCTGAGAATAGTTACTTTCTTCGGGCAACCCCGACCTTAAAACAATGTACAGTGGAATGGCTCACACATTTGACAGCGCGCCTTGACGCGAAAAGCTTAAAAAAGTGCTTTCCAAATTCTAAGTTCAAACCGTGCTGAGGTGTTGCTTGTTTTGGGTTCCTTCCAAGGTTGCTGGTTTTGAGCGCGCGCAGCTTTTCACATATCCGACGCAACCGTTTGCTAGAGAAGCTGGAGCAATAGAAGCAGTAGACCCTCACAAGCCACTGCCACCCCACTGCCTTGCTTGAGTGTCACTCTACCGTCTCTGTATACTTGATGTAGGACACTAAGCAAAACGACCGCCGCGCGGTGCCTGCAAACGCTCACAAGGGATAATGAACAGGCCAGCAAGCCTGTTACAAGGTGATCGACGAAAGCATTCCTACAGCCAATGCCAGCATTTCCACTAAGCCAGACAATGAAGCCATGAATTTGCTGCGAATTTGCTGCCGAGCTTTCCCTGCGCAAACCAAGCCAAACCTGACGCTCTGCCAAACGTCACCTTCCTGCTGCAAAAGCGGCAAGGGAAGCCTAAAAACAGGAGCTCAGGCCTCACTGTCACAGCTGCCCTGGTCCGGCCACAGGTGTCTTCACCAGCGGGAGCTTTGCACCCACACCCGTCCTGGCCCGACCGAGCCTCAAACTTCGGACTGTCACGGACTTTCAGGGGAGCCTCGGGCTTCCAGCTGTCCTGGCCCTGCCACTGGCGGGAGCTGTCGCAGCTGTCTGTCACAAACTCTGCGGGCAGGCGACAACCCCAAACCTGTTGGGTGAGGAATAAGAGGCACCAACAACACGATGCTCATTTTGCCTCGGACCTCCAGGCAAGGTCCGAACACAGGCAAATACATTCGACTCCCCAAAACACCAGTCACCAGAATTCTGTGGTTCCACCAAATAATCTCCATCTTGCACCGGGCAACTCCATCATCCGCGTCAGGGGAATGGCAGTCCAAACTTTCCCTCGGGCGCCTCTGACGCTGCCTGGCCAAGGCTTTCTCCAGGCAATGATGCTGCCGTAGCGCCTGCAGCACTGCCAAGGGCCTGGCGCTGGCGGATCAGACGTTCTGCCCGTTTCAGGGTACCATTTTGGGGGTGCGAAGGGACACCCAAAGCAAAATCACCAGTTTGCGGGCTTCTGAAATGTCCTTACTCTTAGCCTGTGTGTTATGGATATCTCATTCTCTATTTCAATGTTACGTACATTCATTAATTCCACAAAAACTCAGGGATTCATCGGGGGTCGCAGGGGGCTGGCGGGGGTGCTGGATGTTGCCACTTAGCTACTCCTCGGACCGTTGCAATGCTGTGCGCGTTGCAGCCCGCAGGCACGTGCGCTGACAAAGTGTGTGAACAGTTTCCCAAGACATAAAGTTGCCTATCAAATACAGAGATTGAATGAGCAAAACCAACAAACGCAAACTTGAAAAACATGACTTAGTTGTTTGGAACCTTGCCAGTTGTTCAAAGATGATTATTTCCCTTTTGCCAGGAGTCAGGCACAATGAGGGCCTCCACGAATGCAAACCCGCAAAATGACTGAGGGAGTAAGGGTAGTGCCTATCCACAGACTCGGCCCGAGATGCTAGACTTCTCTTTCCTCCGAAGTTCCTATGGGGGTTCAAACCACTGAACCGCCGATCCAAGCTCGCAGCTGGTAAAAAGAGAGACAGGCGAAGCACCCCCGTACGGTGCAGCAAACCAAGTCAAATCAGAACCCCGTGCCCCCCTCTCCTGGGCAAATCCGGTGCCAGGAAGGTCCAATCTTCGCACGGCCTCACGATGGAGTCGTTGTCCATGGACTAATTCCGGGTGTCTTTGGTGAATGGGACAGGGGGACTCAGGAGGATCTCACCGCCTCCAAAGCACCGGGGAGCCTGAATCGATCCCCTGACACGATTTGCCGAAACGGCCATATGCGAACTTCATCTCTTGATAACTCTTGCGCCTCTACTCAACTCGGTGATTTGGGTTGCTGGCTTGGCTCACCATTTTGGAATGTGCTTTGGATTGAACCAGGCAAATCTCACAAATCTGACAGAGATGCATCGCGAGTAGTGGGAACATTAAATCAGCACTAACACCACCCAACTTTTGTGCTCGTTTCGCTGCCAAGTCAAAGACAAGCGCTTGCATGAAGGGTGCAAAGAGGGAGGGACCACCAACAGGCAACAATATGTTGTCGCCAAGTCTTTTCGCAGCCTTTGTTGGCCGCACGCTGCCAAGAAAAGTGACATTTTGCCCAACAGAAAGATTGCCTGCGCACCAAGCGGCTCCCCAGCCAGCGCCATCTGGCTCAAGCTCCTGCACCGTAAGGGAAGCAACTAAGCAACCCGCTCAAAGAATTGTGCCACAGGTTTTGTCGCATAGGGCTTGGCCTCGCAAGCACCTTGAAAAGGAGATCTTCCCAATAAACAGCTCTCCGCGCCGCTTGCTCCTGGCATCTTGACAGCTGATCCCTAAATCTGCCCAATGACCCTGGGATTGACCAGCGCGCTAGGAAACCAAAGGGGGCAGCAGGTGCACTGCACGACTGCTAACTTCACAAGGTATGGGGCGGATGCGAAATCTGTCCCACTCCGACACGCCTCTCCCAGTACTGCACCCTGAGCTTCTTTGGATACCTGGCACAAGGGCTCGAACGAAAAGTTAAGACCGCCGCTTCGGGCGACAAACGTAGACTGAGCGCTTAGGGATAGCCCATAGCCCCAAGATCGCAGCGGAAACTGCTTGCGATTTACAATTGGCCAGCAGTAGTTCCGCAGAGGTGTTGGCACTTTCGCTGCCTCATGGCACGGCCACACCCTGAACGTTCCAGAAACTTCCACCTGATTCCATCTTGCAAAGCAGTGCTTCAAGCAAACGGGCAAGCCGCGGCGACATCCCAGCGCGCATAACCATGACAGTCTTGCCCGCTGTTCATCGCAACTGGCGCAGCCTGAGCCCGGCCTGACGCCCCACCACTGGCCGCTGTAAGCTACATCTCCCCAGACACGCCGCTCGTAGCTCCTGCGCGCTCAAGAAAGGACCACGCTGATCGAAACCAGCCAGGGGACCCGAGACTGGCAGCACAGTCTAAGTTCAGCAGATCAATGGTTCCACAGTTCTTCCAAAACTAGCAAGCGCTCCTTCACAAGACTTTCCGCTTGAACGGTCGGGATGGTCTCAGCTGAAAGTTGACAAATGGAGGATTGGGAGCCCCTTCGGTCCGCCCTTCTGGGCTTTAAATGGCAACAGCCGTTTCTTGCTTTGAGCCCAAAAACGGCCCTGATTAAGTGCGGGGCGCTTTCTGTTGGCTGGCCTCCAAGGGGGGTCCCCTTTGATGAGCTTGAAATGTTGTTTCCTGTGTTTAAGCACAGACAGATTAGGCAAATGCTAGACAAAAAGGAGCACCTTTCATCGGAAGGGGTGGATGGGTTGGGTTGTCGAGGTCCAAACATTGATTGGTGGGAGGCAAAAGGCAAGCCTGTAATCGGGGGTGGGTTTACTCTCCCTCTCGCTTGCCTTAAAACCCATTCGGAAGCAAGGCAACGCACATCCATTTTGGGACTGTCCTTCCTCCTGAGCCCTGGTTGGCTGCTGAGGGTCGCTTTGAACAAACAATTTTAAGTGTAGACGTATGATTGGCTTGTGGCTCGCTTTGCGGTCTGGCAATTCGGGTGCCTTCCCAAATTTGGCTTCAACAGGAACTTCTGGGTCAAACCCCCACCAATCCAAACCAATTAACTAACATTGACCCCTATTCATCGACCCCGGTTGATTAATAGGGGGTGTCCCTGGGTTAAGCGGGGAATCATCAAGCTGGTTGGTTGACATTTCTTTAGGGTGTCAACATCCAGAGGCTGATACTTCACGCCACCTTGCCCCAGTTCTCCCGTTCTCCGTGGCCGGTCTCCGCCCAGTCGCTCCAGCGCCCAACACTTTGGTAGCGAGGCGTTTCGTGGAGACCCACGAAGAGGGGCAGCAGCCCGCCGCCTCCGCGCTGTCAACTTTTTTCGAAGCGGCGCCTCCAGCCCGACCAACAAAACAACAAGTGGGGTGAGGGAGGAAGAAACAAAACGACCACCCTGCGGTGCTTTTTCTTCAACGCGTCGCGTTGAAATGCTGGTGCTCTTTTTGCGTGAGTTTCAAATCAAGAAGGGAGCCGGATCTGCCTTGGAACTCGAACTTGGGGACAAACCGAAACCCACATCTGCGGACCATCACAAGGAGATCCCCCTCCAACAATGAGAATTCTGTGGGTTGCATAAATAAGTTCATTGGAAGGACCCTTCGCAATGCTTTCGGGGAAAACACCGCTATAGCTGGAGGTGTCTTAACCTCAGCGGAATGCGGAATGATTGGCAAAATGGGTACGAGACCCTGAATGGATTCTAGGATGCTAGGCATGACTGCCCTTTTGGTTCAAGATGAAACCCGTTTTCTAGACTTCAAAATCCCCCCTGGGTCCAAACCTCGCACACCTCGCTTGCCCACACACAAGAAACACATTCTCAAGAGTGTGTTGTTGCTGAATCTGTGTGTGTGTGTGTGTGTGCGGGCGCCCGCCGGTTTGAAGGGAACCAACCGCAAAACCACAATCTGGCGGCCCCCCTGTTTTGACACACGCGCACAACCCAATGGCCACCAGATGCCGCTAGAATTGTGACATTTGTGTATTAGTCCTGAGTTTTGCCACAAGTTGCCAGTTGCCACTCTAGGGGCACATTCCTCCTGGAACATGCCACGACCAGCAACAGCCCTTCAGAAAGGACAGTGGCCCTCCCCCCCTTGCTTTGCCTGATGGATTATGTTGGAATGAACATTTCGAAAACAGAGAGGATGAAGATCGGTGAGTAAGAAGACTGAGAGCATCAATGCGGCACGCTCTACCACATCGGCCTCTAACAATAGACATTCTGTTCAGTGCAGTTGCCAGCTCCCCTGAGAAGAACAAACAAAGAGCCATGAGCCATGTAAACGCTGCGATTGTCTATGCCCGAAGCGCCTGCTTGATCCATGGGAAACAAACGTGAATCCGGACAATCTAAAGCACAAAACAAAAACAAGGCGTTGACAACAGGCCACCGTTGAAAACCACCGCAATGGGCACTCAGTCACATGAACTTGGCCAAAGCCTGCAAAAGAAACCAAACCTGCCTTTTTTTGGAAATATCAGCGCCGGGTTTGAACCAGTACGGGTTTTGAAGCTCGGCTCGCAGCGATCCCTTTGACTCAACCAGTGGCCAGGGGAAAATGGACATCGTTTGTTCGGTTTGTTGGTATAGCTAGTTTTGCTTGCTGGTGCTCAGCAGGGTCAGTAGGGAATGACCCGTGGTGTTGGGAATGAACCCAGGGATTCCCTTAAAGGAAACTAGGTTATTGGGGCCATGCCCTCATTCCCTGCTGAGAACCAGCGAGTTTTGAGGCCAAACATCTTGAAAAACGAGTCTGACACAAGGCCACTGGGTAGGCAACCTGAAAAATGAGGACCTCCCATGCGGCTATTTACATCCGTTCCCTTACGGGTTCCCCCCCCCCCCTCGGCTGTGAGAATGCGGCGTTCCTGGGCCTCCGCGCGCGCCAAGGCGAGCATGTGGTCCCTAAAGGGCCCGGAACGAGCTCCGCTCACCTCGGAGGGTGCCAAGAGATCTGGGAAAGGTCCATTTGGCCCAAATCAGCTCCTTGCCTTTCAGGAGGCCCATGTTCTCTAACATAACCATCGTGATGCAACCGCCACAGATGCCGAAGCTGAGAGGTGCCCAAAGGTGGAAAGTCACTCGGTTCTTCCCATGTAAATCAAGAGGGCTGGGCAAATCTTCGGTAGGAACTGTTCTACAAACCTTGATCCTCTTGGTTCGATGGGCGTAGATAACTCGGACTTTGCGTGGCGACTGCACCTGTACAAGGCTTCCTTGGCTTCGCATGCTTTCCGAAATGTTGCCATTACGCGTCTCCGAGCGAAATGCATCTTGCCGCAACTCCGCTCAGATTTGGCGCCCAAAAAATATCAAGGGACGAAAGGTGGCCAGGGCCTGAAACCCTGAAATCTGCAGAAATTTGCTTCAGTTGGTTGCATCATAGAAACCAGTTACAGGAAATTCTACAGGAAGTTATAGCTAAATACCTACCAAAAACAGGGGTTTCCTATAGAATTCCCTGTAGTTGGCTTGTTAGATTGTAGCAACCCACAGGGCGTGGCCCCAGGGTTTCCGCCGCTGGAGATGTCTGAGGCTCTTTCCTCGAAGGCGTGCAAATGTTCGCCTCCATCCTGGCAAGTGCTCGCCCAGTGGAGGTCCTGCGCGGGTCAGCGACGTTGGCAAACACCGGTTCACTTCGCAACAGTTCGCTGAAAAGCAAAGCCCTGGAAACCCTAAACCCTAGGGCCAAGAAGCTTTTTCAAACCTTGTCGAAGAACAATCCATGGGTGACAGCTTCATCCAGACATGCTACCAAGCGGCCGTTCACGTGACACATGCGGTCAACTAACACTCTGCGCAACTTGCTTGAAAAACTATCTGGTCGCTCCTCCCTATGATGGCATCATTTTATATCATTTTGCTGGACCTCAAGGTGCCCTTGCACACACCATTCAACGGATGCCCTGGAGGCCGTACAGTGATTTTTGAACGCGGCCATCAGTTGCAGGGTAAGGACATTGCTTTTCTTTCTGGTGTTGAAGGCATGTCCACATTGAACTCACTTCGTGGCAGTCGTTCCCAATCACACACTTCTGCGCCTGCCACTTGATCTCAGACTTGAGCCCCTCAAGCAGTCATCAAAGTAACACTTCTGGCTCAACAATAGGTTTGTTTTCATGTCTTGCCAATCAAAACATAAGCCCGCTTTGCTAGATTAGGGTTTCGGGTAGATCCATCTTCAGCTCTCTGGGCATCCCTTGGCGCCCCTCGTTTCCGCACCTTGGCCACGATGACGTCCACGCCGAATGCCTGCGGTCAAACAGCGCCGTGGGTTTCACCTTGGAACCTCCCATGCGATGGCACGAGGGCCAAAACCGAGGACCCTATACAACTGTGTTCCTGTTGGTTTCCGCTTAAACCATGCCCCCAAAAGAAAGTGGACATTGGGTACAGGGAAGCCAAAGGAATCCAGAGGAAAGAAAACCGCTGAAGCGGGCGCGGTCCAACGCGCACGATCTACCCAAAGGGCTCAAGCGACCAAAGGCGGCGATTCCCGACTTGCATGCCTTTCCCTGCCGGAACCATTGAAATCATTGGTCCAATTTTTCGTTGGCGTCCCGGTCTGACAAGGGCAACCTTTTCCGGAGCCTTGGATCCAGTCCAACAACTTGAAACGAAAGTGACTGGTAGCCCGGCCTTCGAGTGTAGCTGGTTCTGGGCCGGTTACGTGGTCCGTCTTTGTGTTGCTGAATGACGCCACAAGCATAAAGATCATAAAGGGAGTCGTACAGCATCAATCCTTTGCCCGCTTGTGCTCCGTTTTCGCAATCGTTAAAAATGCCTTCTGACCCAGACAATTCCACGATAGCAAAACAGGAACGGTTTGCCCAGCTAAATATCCCCACTCAATTCATGAGCGTACCAGCATGAACAGGCAGATCAATCGCGGTTCCCTTCAGACCCCACAACCCCCGGCCACACACCCGCGTGCCGAAAAGCTCGCTTCATACAACTGCTCGCGGTCCCCGATTTCTCCCGATCGGGCTATTAGCGCAAGATTGACCAGCACGCAGGCACACCCGTCACCCCGCCCCGTGGCGTTCCTCCGCCAAAGCTCCCAGGTCCACCGCTGAACTTCGGCCCAGCACCGGCGGCATCACCAAACTCCGGCCCAGGACCTGGCCGCGAAAAAGGCAATGGGGCACTGGTCGGAGCTGCGTTGGTTCACAAGACATGGTCTCGGTCACTGCCTACTGACCATCAAGTTGTAAATTCAGTGAACCCCGCTCAGGCTCATCCCATAGCGAGGCCATGGGTCTGTCTCACACGAGACAGCCCCTGCATTCGATTCGATGTCCAAGTTTTTGGGGTATTCCCCAACCGCTGTTCTCAGCTGTATTCCTCAGTAGTGCAGCTGAGACAGATGGGGGAACCCCCCTTGTTCTCGGGAGTTTGAGACACGCCCAGATAGAGACAATCGTCTGTCGAATGAATTCCTTGTCGGCTTGACAGACCAAAACTAATATCGCCCTTGCAGGTTGGTTTGTTCCCCTACCAAACCCTACGTATACATATACCTGGACCCTCCTTGGGCACAATTCTGGTTCTTCCGGATCGAGCCGCAAAGCCGCGCATCTCGATCTAAAATGCTCATTTCAGATCGAACATCGCCCAATGGAAAACCGCAGTAACTCCAGCGGTTTTCGTTCCTTTATTTCCCTCTTGTTTCCGCAGATTTGTCGGCATAAAAATGGCCACGACAGCTCAAAACGCTGCTCCGCTCATTCCGCTCAGACTCCAAAACCAGCAGCATAGGAACATCCAGGTGCATATGTGTGTATATATATGTATATAATACATATATATATATATATATATATATATATATATGTATGTATGTATGTATGTATGTATGTATGTATGTATGTATGTATGTATGTATGTATGTATGTATGTATGTATGTATGTATGTATGTATGTATGTATGTATGTATGTATGTATGTATGTATGTATGTATGTATGTATGTATGTATGTATGTGTATGTATGTATGTATGTATGTATGTATGTATGTATGTATGTATGTATGTATGTATGTATGTATGTATGTATGTATGTATGTATGTATGTATTTGTGTGTGCACGTGCTAGGCCGGTATATAAATATGCGAGCTCATGCATGAAGCCTCTCAAGATTAAAGACATATTGCGCATGGCGCGGCTCCATCGATCGCCCCCAACCTTGCTGAGGATCAATGAGTCGTGCAAGGACTGCACAATGTTCCTCGGGCAGAAACACACGCGCCCAGTAAACAAATAAAAAGGCAACGTGTTTGTATCGAGGACAGCCCCGCATTTCATGGGTTCCACATGAATTTACAGAGGGGCTCTTGTTGGATAGGCGACGTCCCTCAACAGGAAGCTCCTATAATTTCAGGGGCCTCTTACTGAGCGCTGGATCAATTAAGCGAACGCACTGATCAGCAGAACCCCCTGCAATGAACTAAACCTCCACTAGAGAGGGAACCACCCCTGATTATGCCCTCCGGATCACCATGCATATGAAACAAACAAAACCATTTTGGCTTCATGTCATCGCAGGTGGAGGCAGGTGTTTAGAGTCTTCATGCCCAGTGTGATGGTCTTGAAAAACACTGACCAGCAGGACTCGTCAAATGTTGGAAGCACCCAGATTGATCACGGGTTCAGCAGATTAACTAGAAGAAGCCCTGATGAGCCACATGCATATGGAATCCAAACAACATACATTAAAGACATCCCTTCTAGAGGGGCCCTGTTTGGTATCTGCAAATTTGCAGAGAAGTGAAGCTTTGACAGCTTAGAAGAAGAAGAAGAAGAAGAAGCAGAAGCGGGGAAGTCGAACGCCCTGCCGCGCCAAACAGTGTACCATATTCTTGGTGCTGCCTTGGACAGATTGTGTCCTTGCCCTAGGCTATCCCTAGCCACTTCTGAGATGCACACTCAGCGCCAAAACTTGCGGTATATCATAAGTCGTCCTACGCGAGTCAAGTCTGGGCAGCGCCCATGCACAACAAAAGGTGATGAACACAACTCCTTGGCATCAAGTCACAAACCGGGGACATGCCGAGTCAAGTGAAATGATGGTTGAGCTCTGAAAGCGGCAAAAACCAAGGCTTTCTCCGATCTGAATATCTTGCTAGCATCCACAATTTTGCGCCTGCACGGGTCCCAAATTTAGCCCAGCGATGGTTCGCTCCGTGGAAAAAACCACCTGCAGGACAGCGTCAGTTGATGCTCTCCGGCAAGGACCATGCCCAGTCAATTCCCATTCACCAGATCTGGGAAGTGACTCTTGGAGAGAGGCCCGTAGAAAAGAGTTATGCATTCCTTTGGTTGCTTCCTTGCCACTGCTCAAATGCCCAGAAACTGACGAGTTCTGCTTGCGAGTGCCACACGATATGCCCGAAACTGGTTGCTGACGAATCTTGTCATGATAATCCTTGTGCAGGTTGATGCGGCCTGATCTCCGATGGGCATGGGCAGCGCCGGAAGCCCGGCCATCGGCAAAGTCTTGCTGGTCAGTAGGGAAGGGTGTTGAAAATTCACCTAGGGATTCCCTTCAAGGAAACCGTAGGTTGGATGGCTTTCTTAGGGGTCGTTCCAACTCATTCCCTGCCCTGTCGAACCAGCATGGTTAAATGAATTTCTCGGTGCGGGGCAAGGAGAGCCAAATCAAGGCGCGTGTGACACGTCTGCGAAAGAAAGCAGCGCCACATTCCAACACGAGAGCGATACATAACCAATAATATCCGAACTCCCAACCCATGAATATGCTACAACAAGGAGCTGGGATTAGAAACTCATGAACTAATATTAATCACCTATCCATTTCCTATCTCTTGGTCACTTCTCTTCATCATCCTGAGCCTTCCCCAATCTCAGATATAGACAGGAGACGGATAAACACGAAGACTCACATTGGACGAGATAATGGTATCTCAAGAATGGAGGGCTATGACCAAAGACATCCTAAAGTGGCCCTCCTCTGTCCCTTTGACTCACTCTGGTCTATCTCTGTGAGCGAGTGGGATAGAGATAAAGAGATGGAAGAGGAAAGTCCCACCATCACATGCAGAGATGAAATGGAGATAGAAAGCTGGGCCACATCCCTCTTCCTGTTGTAATCTCTAGTCCTTTTCACCTACAGAATCTCAACCGCCCGTGGTCCCAGATACAACTTGGGGAAGCTCCGTGCACTCTGAAGCTGTCAGCTCCATATGCTGGACTTGTGGAAGAATCCAGTCTCAAGCTGGAATCACAATCTGTGCAGTCACACCTTTGCGTTTGTGCCGTTTGCGTTTGTGCCGTTGGAGCGAGCCCGTCATGCCGCTTGTCTGGCTGGCGGGTCTCACACGTCTTGAAACGAAACGCTCCTGGCCCCACTGGCAAGCCAGAGCCAGGAGCCGGGAATTGCGTGGCCCGGCGCCCGTCCAAAGGTGATTGCCTCGCCTTTAAGCATTCTTAACATCGCTGGCTGTCCAAACCGGTCCCCTAAAAGCTGAATTTCTGGTGGGTCAAATGGAAACCCCCACGAACCCACTAAAAAAGCCTAAAAACCAAGGGGACGGCTGGGAACCGCTAAGATCGGACAGGAGCCAGGGACACGACGTGACACGGCGGGCCAAACTTCCCCGCTTGAAAGCTTACAAACTCTAAAAAATAGATCATGGGCAAGTCCGAAGTGCCCAAAGCGCACGAAACCTCTCATCTAGCGCCAAGCGTAGCTCAAAAGTCATGTTGCAATCCGCAGCGTTTTCTAGAAATGCATCCTTACAAATCAATCAAACCACTGAACAACCTCATGATCGCGACTCATCAGGAGCAGAGCAGACAATGCATTTGCTGAAGCAATAAGACGATGATGGACAAAAAGAGCCAATTTAAGCGGCCAAGCCTTCACAAGCTGTCAACCGTCACTGCCCCAACCAATACGCTTTTGGTTCGGGAGACGCTCAGCGTTTCTCGGCGAGTCCATTGGCCCACCAGGTTACGGCATTTGTTTGGGACTGATGTTCGCCTCCAGTCCCAGTCACAGCCAATACGTTTCAATTTCTGCCCAAAGTCCACTCCAAGCCTTGGTTTCGCTTGCCATCCTTTTCCCCCAAAGCAAATCAAGTCTCTAGCCGGGTTCTGCAATCCAAGTTTCCTTCCATGCCACGGGAGAGACAAACCATCTTAGAGTACTAGCTTACCTTCCACGCTTGTTTGTTAGTTTATTGGTGAATCTGAGCTACATTGTGCTGAAGCGCATCAAGTGGGGCATCACGAAGAAAAAACAAATACGCATGCAATTTGGACGGAACGTATTGGAATTGTATGGTGCCATACTTGTACAATTGTCAAAATCATGACGCCAACGATGCCAAACTGACAAGCAACTAGCAAACAAACATCGATGCTAAATAGGAGCTGAAACAAACATTCAGTTTCTGAATGTACTCGCCCGGAAATATCCCAAAACGATCTCTTTGCTCGCACCCGGACTTGCCTTCTCAAAAATATCCATCAAAGCCTTCGACTCAGAATCGGCTCCGAAGTCTGCAGTGCTGCACTCAGGCCGCCGGGGGGCTCGAAACCAACCCGTCTCTGAGAATGGAACAATCAATGTATCTACTAGGTCCTCCAGTAGAGACGTTAGAATCAGGGTGTTTTTTTTTTCTTTTCTGTAGTCTATTTAGGGAACCATCCCCAAAAAAAAAGGCAAACGGGCACTACTGGGGGACCTAGTCCATGCTCAGCCTCCTTGTAACAGAGTACAAGGCAAAACGTTTTTGCACGCAAAGCAAACATGCCTGGAAATGGTGCAAAGACATGATACAACTGGCGCACAGTGCTATTAAAAAGTCGGTCTAAAGTAGAAGTTTGTCTGCTGCCATTGCCATGCCAAAAGCGGCCCTTCCCCCGAATACATCGCCCTTTCGAAAATGAGCTAATTTCCCTTTCGAAGCATTTGGTTGTGCTATGCTAGGCTAGGGTATTGTATGGCACCTTTACAAAGAGAACATGTATTAGGGGCGTCCCTTCCATACATGCATTGCTAAAGCAGTGGTCATGTCGTCAAACGAGCCCCACCACTGAATCGGGCATGTGGCTCCTTGGGGGCGCTCTTCCCACGGTCAGGGGAGACCATTCTTCTGATAGCGTTGAAAGCGCAACAAGTGGCTAGGTGCCTGTCGCCGTATTTTCAGAACAAGGGAGCAAGAATTAGGCAGGTTACCTGTTGACCCTTCTGTGGAAAGAAAGGGGAAGGAACCAGAAGTGTTCTATTTTACGAAGGGGTTGATTTTTCTCGCGACGGACGACTCTGCAAAATGAAGGTTGCGGGAGGTCGGCCCAACCCGGCATCCCATCAGTTCTCAAATCCCGGCTTTGGACATGCCTGAGGCTCGGCGTCCAATGGCGTCCATGTGTTTCCCAAGAGGGGCGCCTCTGGTCGGCGCTAGGGACAAAAGTGAGCCGCGCCCAACGCCCACACCTCTTCATACAGATTTTTTTATGACTAGGTTTCCTTGTGTTGGGTAGCGGTTCAATAAAATACAATTTGTACAACAAAAACATCCCTCACCTGAAAAGCAGAGCGGGCAGGAAGTAACGGGGCCAAGAAGTCCAACATGTTGTCCAGGTGGATTAGAAACACATGTTGTGGCAATGTCTGAGCTTGTCGCATCCAACCTGCCCCACAGTCCCAGCAGCTCCTCTCTCAGCGCTGTTCCAAAACAAATCCTTGAAGGAAGGCTCTGCTGTTCTAGCTGCCCAAAAGACACCAAGAGATGATGGCTGCCACCCAACCACATTTTCAAAGGGGGTGGTGCGGGGAACACCCAGGAGGCTACAATATGATCAACTTAAGGGTAGAGAATAGAGAAAAACCAGGTTCCCAAGGGCCAGCTCAAAAAAAAAACTGAAAACCAAGACTAAACCAATGCTAAACAGTACTGGGCCAGCGCTAAGGACTAAACCAATTCTAAACAGCCCTCAGCCATACCAAGCCAATTCTGAACAGTGCTAGGCCAGCTCGAAGGAATAATGCGCCAAGTCTAAACCAGTCCTATACAGTACTCAGCCAGGACACTAAAACATGTCAAACCAAGACTTCACTCCCCCACATGAAGGCCCTAGCAACTCAAAAGTAAAACCATGACCGACTTGTTCAATGGGTTTCCTCGTCGCTCAAACCGGAATCCTTCCTCTTGGGAAACACCAAGACGCTGCTGATTTAGCAAAAGGTTTTCGGTGTCAAGC